AGGGGGGCTTGGGGGGGGGGGCAGAGCCACCCTAATTAGGTTTAGGGTAAGTTTGGGCTGTTAGGTTTGGGTGTTAAGTTGGGTGTTAGTTGGGATTGGGGGAGGGGAACATGTATTTTCTAAGGAAAAGTACTTTATTTTTGACTTAGTGAAATGCGAGTGTAACTACATGTGGCCAGTTGGAGCTAACCAAAAATGGGCCGTGCGACTCAGGGCCTGGATGCGAAAAGTACGCAACTCTTTGAGTCGTGAGTCTTATTACATAATCATCTTATCAGGCCCTGAACTGAGCGCTGGCCGCACAAAGGTGCTTCCACCAGGGTCCATTGCATTGAAAAGCGCATTGGCTTCGGAAAGCATAAGGGCTACAAGAAATATCAGGTGAGTGATCAATGCATGCGCTGATGAATTCACGTCTCTCATGAACGGGAAGGGCCCTCAAATATCGTTTATTCGGCCTCCTTTGCGCGGTTCGCTCACAATTCCTGAGCTATACGACTGGCATTACGAGCATAACCGAAACTATCCACTCTTCATTTACGAGGATGAGCCAGGTATTATACGATCAATTTCCATGGGAGAGGCAGTGCAGGGATTGCACAGAGCAACCCAGTACCTTCGCGAGTGCACGGGCGACGTTCTCGACATTCAACTCAGTGAGGAGAGTACAAAACAACCTGTCATCGCCATCCTTGCTGCATCAGGTACCATTCCAACGTATATGTACTCGACGAATGCTAATCTGTGTTTAGATACGATTTCATTCTTCTGCGCTTATATAGGAGGCCTACGAACTGGTGCAACGATATTCCCAATCTCGACTCGAAATAGCGCTCCAGCAGTTGCGTTTCTTTTGTCGAGGACGAAACCAATCGCTATCCTTGTCTCTCCCGAGCCGACTTTGCAACAGCTCGCGGATGATTCCATTGGAGCCAGCGAATGTGCCGACCTGCGACAGATTGCCATGCCCACTTTCAATGATTTATTCCCGAATGCAGGACTTGATCCACAATTCAAGCCTGTTCCATCGGCGAAGCTGACCATGGACTCGCACGCTGTTATCTACCACTCTTCTGGTAATTCCTTTCACTTCTCTTACGCGAAAAGCTTATTTGTTCCTCCGTCTTAATCGTCTTCCCAAGGCACGACTTCGTTCCCAAAACCTGTTTATTGGACACACAGAGCTTTGTCTTGCGTTTCTATCTTACCTCGTGAGTCTTAATCAATGATCAATGGAATCTCGCGTACAAAACTGATTAATTGACGCAACGGTAGTTTCTGGAGAAGTGGACGTCTCGGGTACCATTTTTGGCTGCCACTCCACTCCTCTGTTCCACGCTTTGGGTGCTCTTCTCATTGCATTTCCTGTATGTTTGTCTGTTCCTTAGCCTCAGCACGTGCTCATATGAACAGGCAAGCATCGGAGTTTGTTTGGCTTTGTTTAAACCTCAGTCGCCCGCTGTTGTTCCGAATCCAGTCAATGTTTTTGAGGCAGCATTGGTTGCAGAGACGGACTATTTATTCAGCCCGCCTTCGTTCGTAGAGGTATGTCATTCAATCCAGTGTGGCATCAAATATCAATTCATGCCTGGACAGACATGGTCCCAAGTCGATCACTATGTCGATGAGTTATCAAAGATGAAGGGCGTTGTATGATTTCATGCTTCTAGCTTACTTGTTACATTCCTTACCGTATTTTGACAGGTGTATGGTGGTGGACCACTCGCAAAGCATGCCGGCGACCATCTAGCCTCAAGAGGCGTCAATATTTATCAAACATATGCGTCGTGAGTTCAGCTAATGAGCAAATGCGCAAAAGCTTACCTTATATCTTCAGAACAGAAACGGCAGGATTAAGCGCATTTCTTCCTGGTACGATCCGACATAGCGGTGTATCTTGATCCATGGCTTAGCTGGTTTCGCAATTTTAGAGCATCCGGGCATGGCTTGGGAATATTTCAAGTTCTTAAGCGACAGAAAGATTCGACTAGAGCCTTTCAGTGAAAACGAGTTCAGAGTTATAGTCCTTGTGAGTTCTCGTATTACCATCCGAGTTTGAATATTGGTGCCGAACTCTTCCAGGAATCGGACAACTTCAAGCCTTTCTCAATAAACACGAAGGTGAACGGAGTGGACGGATACGCGTCGGATGACCTCGTATCACCTCATCCAACGAAGCTAGGCTACTTTAAAATAGTAGGAAGAGCAGATGATCAAATCATCCACTCAAACGGCGAGAAGACGAATCCAGGTCCACTTGGTATGCGATCTCATTACCGTGTGATCAAATACTAATTGCAAGTAGAGACGATGCTCAAGCAAGACTCGCAAATTGAAGATGCAATCATGTTTGGACGCGGCAGATTCCAATGCGGTGTGCTAATCCAACCGAGTAAAGCTTATCCAGTCGATCATTTCGACACGGTGGAACTTGAAAAGTTCCGGAATGCAATATGGTCAGTTTTGTGGTTCTATAATCCGCCCATGCTGAACTAGCGCAGGCCAACTGTTGAGAAAGTCAACGCATTCGCTCCGGGCCATTCCCGTCTTTTCAAGGAGGTGCATATTTCGGACTGACCGTTATATGTAATAAACTAATGAAATAGTATGACTATTCAGATGATAATAGTCGCGTCACCCGAGAAACCGTTTCAATATACTGCCAAGAGATCGCTTCGTAGACAAGTAGTGCTTGAGGCATACTCCAAGGAAATCGACAAACTATATACTATTGTCAATGATAGTGCTCAGGTTGATATTGCCCCACCCAAGGATTGGTCTGAGAGTTCCGTCCTCGATTTTATCAGGGATGTGGTTGCTCAGACAATGAAGAAAGAGATGTGTTATTTGGGGGACGAGAATGATTTGTTTGAGCACGGCGCAGACAGGTATGATAATATTCGTATTTGTGTTAATACAGCTGACGTGCGTATTGTATGCAGCCTTCAGGCAACTTGGATCCGTAACACGATTATACGAGCACTCCGTGGGTCTCATCCGAAGCTTGCCCACGCTGTCAGTCCGAACTTCGTCTATGAAAACCCTACAATTTCCGGTCTCGCAAACCAAGTTGCTCTCATCATTACGGGACATGCTACTTCCGAGGCAAATTCACTTAGCGCAAAGAAGAATGAATTGCTGAAACTAGTCGAGAAATACACAGACTCATTCCCGGATTTTTTCCCATCCCCGAAGGAGAACGCAGATGGCCACGTCGTTTTACTAACCGGAAGCACCGGCTCTCTTGGGTCAAATTTACTCGCCACACTGTTGCAAAGTAGTTCTGTCTCGATTGTCTACGCGCTTTCCCGCCACTCGGATAAGCCGGTTCTTGACAGACTAAAGTCCGCTTTTGAGAAAGAAGACCTTGCTCTGAAACTATTGCATAGCAACAAGCTGAAGACTATAGAAGGAGATCCGAGTGATTCTGGTTTTGGAATTGAACCGGAGCGCTATGCCGAGGTTAGTTTCGCCATTTCTACCTTTGTATCTCTTCAATACTCAAGTTCGTAAAGCTGCAAGGCACGGTGTCACACGTAATCCATAACGGTATGCATTGCCTTAATGCAATCGTATAGACTCAACGCTTATCTCGCTTCTTCAGCGTGGAGAGTAAATTTCAGCAATTCGATTGCTTCTTTCGAGTCGAATATCAGAAGTGTGCGGAATTTCATCGATTTCTGCTTAGGGTGCAAAGGAACCTCCCCTGCGCGCCTCGTCTTCATCAGTTCGATCTCGGTCTTCCAACAGAGTATGTTTTGTGGAATTGTCGAAAGTGTAATTTTATTTTAAGACACGTCTCTTTTGAATAGGCCTCTCGAAGACAGCTGAACCTGAAGAACTCCTGTCAATTGAAGACGTTCGGTTAGGTAGTGGCTATGGAGAATCAAAGTGGGTGGCGGAGCAAATACTTGCCGAAGCGGCCAGAAGAACTCCGTTGAAAATGACAATTATTCGACCTGGGCAACTTACGGGAGGGACGACTGGAGCGTGGAACGAGCATGAGTGGTTTCCGAGTCTAATAAAATCTAGCATTGTCCTCGGAATGCTTCCTTCTCTCGATGGTGTAAATGTCTTCTATTGCTGTGAAAACGTTGGACCTATCCTTGACTGACTTCCTTGTTTAGGTCATTTCATGGATAACGACGGACATTGCTGTCCGTGCCATTCTCGAGATGCTCCAATCAGAGGAACAAGTTTTTCATCTTGCTCATCCTCATCCGGTCAAGTGGAACGAAGTGATCCAATGGTTCTCAAAGAGTTTGGGCGTGGTCGTCGTTACGTACCGAGAATGGATAGAAGCCCTTGACCAGTCCAATAAGTCAGCGCAATCCGGCAGTGTCTCGGAACTGGAAGTGGCTCTCAAGAAGAACCCAGCATTACGGCTTTTAGATCTGTTCCGCTCAGTTATAGGGACACTTGGCAAGGCGGACGACCCTTTCGGATCCCCGACTCTCGCGCTCGAGCATGCATCTCGTATCTCGAGTGTGCTGAGGAACGCGGTTCCTATCAACGGAAAGAACGTTGAGCGGTGGGTAATCTTCTGGAAGAAGACTGGATTCTTGAATTGATGAACAGCACGCACACCAAGATGGATTTGGATTTGATAAGCTCGTATACGTATAGTTACTCGTTGTTGTGAAACATAAATATGAATCGTGTTCTTGAATAAGTTGTGTGCCCACAGAGGACGATTTGACTGGAACGCGTTGCATTATCAAAGCAAAGTGCGAGATCGCCTTCCTAATTCGGATTTTCAAAAATAATATACACTGACACACTTCCTTACATGACAAACTTCCTTATACAGTAAGTTTATTATTTAGTCAGAAAAACGTGTTCAAATTTAATCTACAAGTGAAGTCAAAATCTCAGAAAGCGTCGCGTCGGCCACAAATGCAGAGGCAGGGATAACCAAGCCGATACTAGCCAGCACCTTCTCCGAGAACGAAACAAAATCAAGTGACTGCAATCCAAGCATGACGAACGATTTCGAAAACAAGCTTTGAGACTCCTCAGGCCTGAAACCAAAGTCGGACACAAGGATAGCAACAAAGGCAGCTTCCGCCTTTTCACGATTCATCTTCCCTGTGGCAGACGCTGTTGGTGGGGTAACAGCAGGCTCAGGTACTGTCTCTGTCTTTCGTTGACCCAAATCGGAATTACTGCGTTGTTCAACAAGCCGAGGAATATTTCCGGCAAGGAACTTCTCGAGCGAGAAAATTCGACAGCCATCCCAGTTAAATCTGGAAATCATGGAGGATAGCATGTGTCCTGGGCCCATGTCAATGAGCGTACTTGAAGGAAAGTGCTCCCGAATGTGCCGCACGGCATCAACAAACAGCACGGGATCCCTCATGTGGCGTAACCAATACTTAGGACCCAGCCTCTTGCCCCCGATAGAACTTCCCGTCAGCCCCGAAACGTACAGACACGACCCGGGATGGCGGTCGAAGTCGGGTAGTTGAAGTGTCTTCATAGGCTGGTCCATGAGTGCTGAGTGGAATGGTATAGACGTCTCGATAATCTTCGTCTTAATGCCCATATTGTGGAAGGCTGTCTGAGCGGTCGTGATGTGAGCGGGTGGACCAGAAAGCACGTAGTGTTTTGGGCCTGCATGAATGGCGATCTCCATATTGAACGGCAGCTTCAGCATCTGTCGCTTCACAGCATTAATCTCAGCAAATACATTCAGCATGCTACCCTTGACATCACGCAACATGACGGCTCTCCGGACAATGATATCGACAGCAGTCTCCAGAGAAAGTATCCCAGCGCAAACGGATGCTGCGTACTCCCCGAAGCAGTAGCCTAACACTGCTTTTGGCTGCACCGATAGACTCTTGAGCCGTTCAAATGCTGCGACTTGACTGGCAAGGGTCGCGAGCTGTGAGTCAAGTGCTGTACTGTACAGATACTCTATAATTAATTCACATAGACATTGCTTAAAACGAAAACTCACTCTTGTTCACTATACTGAATTGCAATTCTTGTTTGTAAAGCTATACTCTGAATCCGAGCTTTTGCCTCTCTGTCATCGATTGAAGATGCAACAAATTCTGACCAAGGCCCGAATAAAAGCACTGGAGATTCTGGTAGTTGACCTAGAGGAGCTGGCGATCTTTGACCTGTTCCCATCAACCTTGTCACGATACGCTGCAAAACCTCTTCATCCATTGCGGGGCACGCTGCAAGGGCTGTACTATGGGCTAGACTTTCTTTGACTTCCAACAGAGCATATCTTGAAGGAAGCTCTCCCTGCTTAACGACATTCGTGAAATATGGCAAGAGACGGATAATCCTGAGCTCGGAATGTGATGCAAAGGCTCGTATGATATCAACATATTCGCGCAAGGTAACGAGCGCGACGTTATTCAGTCGTAGTACCTTGGCTAGCATTTTGGAGACCGTGGGCCATGGGGTGATTCGAGGATTTGACACATGGAGTACCTTCGCTTCACCTCCTGTCATTGGAGACGTTGCAAACTCTGCAAGCACAGTTGCACAAACGTCTGACGGAATCCAAGTGACGTCCGGCATGTTCCGTGGAAGGACACCAAGTACAGGTAAAGCTTTAATCATCATTGGCATCATTTCGTTTAGGCTCCAATCTCCTGTTACAGAATCACCGCATATTTGTCCGATGCGGACGACTCGCAAGCTAAAGGCAGCTTCGGAGGATCGATACATTGAGAAAAGAGCATGCTCAGCAATGAGCTTTGAAAGCGCATATCCCTAACACACGAGCCATGACACTGTTAAGGCATGCATCGAAAGAATTATTTCAGGCTTACTTGATCCAAGCATGAGCCTAAACTCGCAATCAATGGCTGTTCCGGAAGAAGGGCATCCTCGAAACCAAAATATGCGCTGAAGCTCGAGGTAAAATAGTAGGCTACGTGCTTCTTCGCAGCTGCACATAATAATGCCAAGTTTCTAGTACCCTCAATACAGTTCTGGAATGAGGTGACAGGTGCGTTGAAATCAAGCTTCCAGGCAAGGTGAATTATGGTATCGACGTTCTGAAGTAGTTCATGATAGACATCCGCATTGCATCCCAGATGCTCATCGCCAAGGTCCGATGTAGGGAAAACAACAACTCGTCCCGCTTCCTTCTCCCTGCGAAGTTGCGCGACGTCACGCCCATGGTCAGCGTAGCTTTGTAAGAGGCGTTCCCAGGCGTCTCCGCGAACCGGACAAAATATCCGTATCACCGAAGGCCTCAAGAGTAGCTCTTGAAGAAGTCGAGAACCAAGCATTCCGTTTGCACCGGTCAAGAGAACTGTTAATGCTTTGCTCGATCGGTTTTCTTTGACTGCATGGGCCGACGAGGCTGCGAGCGATGCACCGTACTTCTCTATCCATGCATCGACATCTGCCTGAGAGAACCGCTTATTAGATGCAGAAACGGACGCTTGGGTATTGTTGAAGATCCTCTTTGAGAAGAAACTGTAAATGTCTTGGACGGTAAGTAGCGAATACAGCTCTTCTGTCGGAAGTGCGATTCCGAATTCCTGAGACAAGGTCTTCGAGAGCTCAATGCTATTCAAGGAGTCGATCCCCAAGTCATAAATATTGATATCATAAGGCACTTCTTTCAAGGGAATTCGAAGTACCGACGCGATATGTTCTGCTATGACAGACATTGAGGGAGGCCGTGATGTGCCGCTTGCATCGAGAATATCGACAGCCGGTGCTTCTATTGGAGACGTCAAGCGTAATGAATCGGGAATTCTTCGCCAACACGGCTTCCTGTCAAAGGCATACGTCGGAAATGTCTGCAGGTATTGACGCAAATGCACCACGTTCCGGAGATCGTATATTTCGTCAAAACGGAGCCAGTGTCCCTTGGTGTAGAGAAGGCACGCGGCGTGCAGAACCTGATCTTTCTCCAGAAGGACGTTTACCTCTTCCGCAATCTCCTTCGAAATTGGGCTCGACGAATTTGGGAAGTTGAGGAAAGCCATTGCCTTCTCGCGAGGGATGTTGTAGTTCACAGAATCATCTAACATCTGGCTATTACCCGTTGATGAGAGCCTTCGTAACTCGCGGATATCATATACAACGACAATAACTCTGACCGCATGGTGCTCGCGACATAAGGATAAAAGGGCGCCCAAGTCATACAATCGGCATCCTGTTTCACATGCCCAATCATATACTACCTGAATTTGAGCGTCCAGGGCGCTAGCCGTTTTGGCAGAAAAGGGAAGGATACAAGGTAGAACATCAACAATATCTGGTGTCATCTCTTGGGGGTATACTGGATAATCATGGCCCTCCTGAAGGACGAGACTGGAAATGGAACCCGTAAAGCCGAAACTGCAAACTTGGGCAGAAAGAGATGTTCCATCTGGCAACGACATTATGGTCGTAGGAATTAGAATCTGTCCTTCTTTGAACTCTGGCAGAGGATCAACAAGATGAGGCGAGATTGCCTTATTTGCGAAGCAGGCGAGAACTTTCAATATTCCTGAACAAGGCGTATTGTAGCTAAAAGTCGATGTTCACTGTATACAATCGCAAGCTTACCAACAAACATAGAGGCCGCTTGACAATGGCCAAAAAGCGTTTTTGATGAAGAAATCCAGAGTGGATGCTGTCGTTGCTCGTCGGTGTCATACACATTACGAAATGCTTCTGCTTCTATCGCGTCTCCCAGACGAGTTCCGGTGCCGTGGGCTATAAAAACGTGTCAGATTGTACTACGTATCATGAGTTAGATATTGAACCACACCTTCTAAAATATTGATTTCGGATGGTGATAAGCCAGCCGCACGCAGAGATCGGCGCATGAGAGCCGATTCAGCAGAGACGTTTGGTGTGGTGAGAGTTCGTGTTGCTCCGTTGTGTCCTGTCGCGAGAGATCGAATAACTCCAAGGACTGGGCTAGAGCCAATTAAGTCAAGCTTTCTTAGGAGAAAGAAGACAGCGCCTTCCTTGGGAGCCTTGATCAGCCGAGGCCATCCAACAGCCCATGGGATTTGACTTACGGAGGGTACGTATCCATCTGCCTTGTCGGAAAACGCGGCACACTGGCCTCTCTTAGATGCAACATTCACAGATGCCGCCCAATCGAAGGGAGCAGTGACGAAATGCGTGGTCACCGCACCGACAATCGCGAATTCGCAGTCCTCAGCTAAAAGTGACTGGATACCTTTGGTGTACGATTAGGAATTTTCCATGCAACCGAAATGATCGCCTTACCATCTCGCAGGGCAAACGAACCGGACGAGCACGCAGAAGATATGACAGACGTTGGGCCTCGAAAGTCAAAGAAATGGGAAACACGGCCGGAAACTCCACTTGGGTCACTGTTCGCGGCCCAACGATGGTCAAATGCGTCAAATTTGTCGTCCGAAAAACGCCGAATATCCCAACCATCTTCGGTACCCATGCCTATCGACACAGCAACATTCCTTTCCCTCAGGGATGCAGGCGGAATTCCAGCTCTCTCAAGCAGCTCCCATGTTAGCTCTAAAGCAAGACGTGCATTCGGTCTTAAGACTTCAGCCTCCGCAGGTGAGATGTTGAAGAAATTTGGATCGAAAGACTCAATTCCTTCTGGACCCAACCAGCCAGCTCCCCCAACCTTTGTAGAGCTAATTCTAGGTAAATTATCTAACTTTCGGGAGCCCGGAACTGATTCCGGAGATGTGAAGGTCGACCTCGAATCTCCGTAATTACAGAAAGCATCCCAGAGCTGAGACGGGCTAGTTATGCCTAGAGGAAGTCGGCAGGCGGACGAGACTATTGCAATAGGATTTTTCTGGAGGTTCATCTCCTGGGAGTTGGGATGATAGTTTGAAATTGAGAGTGTGACTCTGTGAGCGCATTGCCACCCAGAAGTGATACACTACCATTAATATTGTTGATGGTGAGACTGATCTAGCACACACAGCCTGGGGAAGGACTGTGACAGAATTAGATAACATCACGGTCACATTCTTTTTCCTGCTTCTTGTACACTCAGTCTACATTTCGCTTGATACACTTAATCATCTTCAGTGCATAATATCCGAAGAATCTACAGCTATATATATGGGAAGCAGACAAAAACGGTGGCAAATATGAGAGGCCTAGAATCAAACCGACCCGCTTCAGGCCGTGATGTTAGCCAGCGATCATGGTTTCTCAAGGGAGGATCCCTGCATTCTGACCATTCACTTTGACGAAGCCATAATTGCCCGGATATCGTAATAGAACCTATGGGGCTGAGGCTCATACCTAATGCAAAAGGTCAGTGAAGAGAAGACAATTTTAACGGAAGTCTACTTACGGCTCTTCCAGATACTTGATCTCCTCGTCTGTCAGCGTTTTATCCGTCGTGATGCTGTCATTCAGTCTCGCGATCTAACAAGCAACTCGTCAGTATTCTAAGAGCCGCACCTCCTATCCGAGCGCTGGAACTGACCGAATTCGCGCCAATAATCGGACTGGAAGTTTTTGCACTGGACCAAGCAATGGCAACCTGGCTCATCTGCCATCCGCGTTTTCCTGCGAGTAGTTGTACTCTCTTGATGATTTCCTTGTCTGAGTCTCTGCGTTTCTTGTCGAACGGCGTCCCCTTAGCAAACTTGGATCGTGCAGTGTCCGCCTCTTCCGGTCTCGCAAGGTGTCCATCCATTAGCACAGAAAATGGGAAAATGCCAATATCCCTGAGGTTGCAGTACACAAACAACTCTTCTTCCTAGGACTGTGTCAGATTACTGAAACCATGGACAGTAGGTGTGCATGGAATACTAACGTGGGGCCGGTACAGAAGCGAATGCTCTACTTGCATGCTGATGAAAGGAGTCCAGCCATTGCGCAAGGCGATGTTGTTCATTTCTGCAAGTTGCCATGCGCGCAAGTTACAGGCCCCGATGTAACGAGCCTTCCCGGAACTGACAATGTCGTGCAATGCCTTCATCGTCTCCTCTAATGGCGTATTTGGATCGAAGCCATGGACCTGCAGTAAGTCAATGTATGTCGTGTTGAGTCTCGATAGATTCTTGTCGACTTGATTGAATAGAGCAGTGCGCGATAATCCGCCCTGGTTGACGAAATCGCGCTGATTCCACAGATCAGGAACGAAAGGTGCTGGAACGGTAATGTCGTGCTCAGAGACGAGGTTGTAGATTTTATCCATAATGACAACCTTCTCCCTCGGAATGTTGTACTGCGAGACTGGTAAGCTATTTGACTGAGGGTATGGTACAGGTCTGACCTTTTCAAGGAACTTTGCGATTACCCTCTCGGATTCTCCATTGGAATAAAAGTTGGCCGTGTCGAATGTGTTGATACCCAAGTCCCAAGCGGCCTTGAGAATGGGCAAGGCCTGAGGCGGTGATGAATTGTGTTATGTAGTACGATGAAGAGAGAAATAGTGCTACCTGCTCTTCAGAAAGGACCCAATTCTTTCAAAAACAACAAGTGCGAATGAGTATGTACCATTTAATATATGTATATCAGTTCTCACAAACTCACCATCCATTCGGGACTGCCAAACCCCATGCATCCCAGCTTCAGGTCGAATCGATGAGTTATCGCTCCGTAAGTTTGGACTCTTCAGCAACACGTACCACGGGCATGGACACACGAAGACCAGACTTGCCAACCTGTCGATACTTAACCTGAGTGGACATACTGATAGTTCACGAGTACGATAGGCCTTCTGTATCGATGCGTAAGAGATTTAAACACCGTAGCCGCCGTTTTCTGATTTCATCTCTAGCTTTTGCACTTTACTCTCGTATCATAGAAGAGCTGCAGCTGCCCAACGTGACCAATACATTTCGCCCCCCCCAGATGCGTGATCACGGATTTTGAAGCGACAAATTTCTCTATTGATCAGACGAGCATCATGTCGAGCGCCTTCGCATTCTGATGGCCCATTTACGGAATACTGGATGTTACCGAAGCCCGATTAAGACGAAACGGCCGTACAGCGCTGTGAAAATTCAGGTCACCTCGGGCAGTGGCACATCAAAAAACAAGCACTGAGTGGCTTCGCGTGATGGCCCTTGCTGTCCCTACCCTATCAAACCCCGAAGATCCGTGCAAAGTAGCATATGAAGGTTTCCCCGCAAACTTGTCTTGGTACTCTCGGAATCGGTATCTTTAATACATGCCATGGGGAAATCTCAGGTATCAAAAAGTCAGGGAAGGTTAAGGCTGACGATGGCCATCGTATGGCAATACATACAAAAGGAAGACAGGTTACATTTCACTGCATCAGTGGGCACGCCAAAGTAAGTTCCCATGATAGATATCCAACTTTGACATTGCATGCGAGACTGCAATCACATCAACACGGCTGCCGTGCAGACAGAATTGTAACCTTGTCAGCGCCAAATCCATACGTGATCGATTTGATTTCCGAATGAGATATGACCTCAAGAAGGCTCTGCCTGTGCGAACTTCTTAGTCTAGAAGTGCCGCTGGCTGAAGGGTGTGTAGGCTATTCAAAAAGATAAATTCGTGTGGAGCAAAGGTAGGTTGTGAAGAAAATTTCGTCTCCCATGAGGTCCGAGTCGGATGTGCAGTATTCCAGTCTGGTACAGTATCTGTAACATGAACGTTGAATGTGGATTTAACCTGAATACTTTTTATCTTTAATGCCAGTTAGAACCTATTTTACTTTATAGGTATAATAAGACGCTCAAGGAGCGACTTGTTTCCCTGTTTCCCCATATGGACAATTTAAAGTTCCAAACCACAAATTTCCACAGCACGAGCGAATGAGCTGCACGACCGCCAAAGGCCGCAGATCTACCTTAGTCTCGAACAACGACATCAAACTCTACTCAAGTGTAGAGAGATTTGCACTTTAACCGTCCAATTGCGCCCACTTCAAGTTTTAATCGACGACTGCACTCAAAGCCAGAATATCATTTCTCGGGGTTCTATGATACTATTGTGATTCTATATCTTGTAGGACTCACTTCTCACTCCATGGATTTCTTTCATTCGTACTCACATTAAGTTTATGCCATATATGCATGATATATGCGCTGTGAACGACGCCTATCTCCAATTAGCACAGAATCTCCTGTCTCGGCGCGGCTCAACGGGCAACAGGTCTACGCGAACTTCGACTTCTACTGTCCCATCAAATGATGGAACGCCGGATGGCAACTTTGCTAAGAATACATCCATTAAATATTACTTCCCAATCATCAGTGCAATGTCAAATGTTGTTCAATGTGACGCTTGAAATAACTCGATCAGTCGGAGAATCGCAAAAAAGCACTTAAATGATCGTCCTGGAAGTACAAAGTTTATCTGGCACTCCTGAACCTCTTTCCTTTCGATATGGCGACCACAAACAGTGGAGGTGCACAGGGTCCAAGTGCACCACCTCTGGGAGAGTTGATATCTATCATAGATGCTATAGGTCTGACGAAAATGCTCAATTGTTCGTTCTTCTTGAATTTTCTTGAAAATTTGATCACTAAACGCAGCTGATATCGTTAGTGTCGTCGACGGTGCTTTATATTTATGAAATGCGTGGGTTGAAGATCTTCTGTGTGACTTTTACTAGGTCACTCAAATTTTGGGCTAGTGACAACCTTCGATCGAGAAGTTACTTTCATGTGGGTAAGCATGTAGTCTTTTTACTTATCTGTCAAAACAATACCAATTGATACGGTGCACTATTAGACTTCCGGTTTCAACATCGGAAAGCTTCTCTACTTTGTGGTGAGCATAGTACCTATGCCAGGCAAAGTCAGCTCCTTATGGGAATGGTTTATGGGAACGGTTTAGATACGGTACTTTACATTAATTGTCATGGTGTAAGTCCCTCTCATAAAAATAAAGTGATGTGAATTTCTGACTTACCTGTTGTAGGGCAATCCATGGAGGTATTTACTTCGATCGTTAACATTGCTGAAATGTGCTGAGTTGGACCGTCCCAAGCAATATTTATGCCTAACGGAAGTGCTCAGGTACGCGATTCGTATCTTGATTTATTGTGTAAATCATGTCTAACTTCCTCGACGATCTTAGTCGTGCGTTCTAGACATCCTACTATTTAATTTCAATGATGAATAATATCGTATCCTCTTGTGTTTCTTAGATGTAAGTCTTCTTTACCTGCGGGATTCCTTAAGTTGAAAATTCACCAGGCACCACATGGATCCGATTTCATTTCCATTCATCAACTATCGTCTATGGGCTGGTACAACGTAGGTTATTGTGCCTCTGATAAAAGATATATCTAATTCACCTCTATATATAAGTCACTTTACAGCTTAGAGTCTATGCTATGTTCCACAAAAATAAGGCGATCCTAGCTGTTTGTTCAGCTTCATTGATTTGCACGTTTGCAATGGCCAATATAATAGCCTCGTTCACGATGAAGGGAGCGGAAAGTAAGCCTATGCATTAAGCAGAATATCTGTTTTATTGAATGAGTCATAGTTTCGTTTGTGGACCTTGGACCGGGATCTAATATGCATTCCTGCGGTATATTTAATAGCGTAAAATTAAGAGGTCTTTGTCGCTAATTTTCTTCAAGGTATTGTCAGCATGAATGACTGGTATAAGGCATTTTGGGGAGCAAAGACCTTCAATGAAGTGCTCTTATTTTCGCTGGCTCTTTTTAAAGGGATTCGAAGTTACAGATCGCGCTCGCATTCAGCGGTGTCATACGTCAGACTGATAGATATCCTGGTCAGAGATTCAGTATTGTACTTCCTTGTGTGAGTATCCTTGAGCAGAACATTAGCATCTCAACTCTAATTGCTCGTAAATACCAGAGTATTCGTATCCTACATCATGTCCTGGATTGTTTGGCTTACCAAAGGCGTACGCGGCAGGCTTCTTCTCTCCTTGCTAATTCATGCTGATGAAATAGGAAATCATACATAGGTATCGTACCTAGAAGCGCCGGCGGGCTTTGCCATGGCCCTGGAATCTATCATGAGCCAAAGGCTACTGATTAATGTGCTTTTGGAGTACTCGGAACGAGGTCGCAGAAATCAGTGGTCGGACCAGAACACAGGGTCGATGCCCGCGTATACCCCTCAAACGAGCGTCGTCCAGAAGTTCCACACTCCACAGGCAGACGTGGAACTCATCGAGTCGTCCAGGTTCCGAAGGCGAGTGGATGATCATAATGCAAGTTTCTGGGCCTGACATCCCTTACTTACTTATTCAGGACACCTGGGTTCTGACTGTTAGAATGTATGGATGATATGGCTCGCGAGCGAGTCTGCCCGTTGCAGTTTACTCCAATTGAGCAAGCGCGTCGCTCATATGGATGCACTTAACGGGTGATTTGGATGGATTCTTCTCCACGGACTAGAGAATATGTTAGAGCCGAAGCTACGTCCGAGTCGGACACCTAATAATATTCACTGTATCGCAACGTCCTCCATGTGATCGGCTTCGTTGTCCCGCTTACCCTGGTCGTTCTCACAATTGACTCTCCAGCACCAGAATAGTAGCATACATGTCACATATTTTATTTGATTATTTGACTTTTTGCTGTGTTCATCTGTCTCCAGAGCATTAGTGTTCTGATTGTGCACTGCGCAGATATCAGATCATATAAAAAGGAAGATACTTTGATGACTTTAACTCCTACCACATGTAGCATATCGATCTATTTCCAGTCACCACCATTAGCACGTCTATCTACAAGATAAGCCTAGTGCGCATCCGGATACTAATGTTCGTTCTTTACCGTTCCTTTCTGGGTCGAAATCCGTCGCTCCAAGGATGCCATATGCTTCTGCAATCGATATCAGTGCATGCCTGACTTGGGGGGCGCTCTTACAGTAACACGGTCCTTTGCGTTCCGCTTCAAGACAAACTCGTGCCAAGATTAATGGAATATAATGGGATGAACAGCGTTCTTCCCGGGCCTGTGATAGATCGATTCCGTGAAATTTCCGATTTGTTCATCCCAGTTTTCCACGTACATACTACTTTGACTGAATTGCAATGATAATAAGTCACTTGTGGTGGCAATACAGTAAAAATGAGAAATTGGATCTCAGCATGCGGCTGGGTCTCAAAATCCGGGCCCAATAATTTGAACAATGACGATTGACACCTTTCACAATGTTTTCTGTTTCCGTTGGACAAGCGCGCAAGAGGGTCAAATGTTAGCCGGTTCATGCAAAGAGCTCACTAGAAGTACCCTACGAGCTATTAGAGAGAGAAGTCTGATTTCTCGCGTCGAAGTTCTGGGATGCCGTGTATGTCGTTAGTCATGGGACCTTCTGGTGATGGGTAGGTTATTGTATCACGGAATTAACAATATAGGAAGGATCTTCTGTGTCTCAAAGACTGTAATCGAGGCCAGGCCGCCAGGTCGCTGATACCAATTGGCCAGTACTTGATTGTCTCTACAGTACTTGTAGGAGCGCACACTTAGAGCAATGGACCCAAATAGGGGTTGATTGACGTAACTGAGATTTCCTATCAATATGGTATGGGGTTCTTTCCAGCAACTCTGTCTGTTGATGAGGAACCTAGTAAAGTCCAGAGATAATACGTAATACGTAACTAGGCAGACATTGCACAAAAGGAAAGAAATACCGCTGACGAGAACAAACGGGCTCTGCATCACACACACACACACACATGTGTGTCTTTTAAGTACTCAAGGACAACAATCGTGATAAATATTTTATCTGGTATACCAGTTCTTTCACGCCACTCATCGTCACCCTGCATTTCAGAAGACGTTGGATACGACCAAGAACTATGCCTGAGCCGATGTCTGCAATATGAAGTGTGATCGTGTCCCTGAATTTATATTATCGTAATAACCCGAAGCCCGCGGAGTGTAGGGGACTGCAGTTCGTGGATGCTGGGATAGTTAACGGGTTAACCTAGCAATTGCATGCGGTATTTCGCCTCGAGGCTTGTACCTACTAAGCTACTACCCGGTGCACAACACCCTATTTGTGAAGGGCGGGTATGTGCCCTTTAATAGAATATTAGTGATACTAAATAGATAAGAGCAAAATATTGAACACCATGGGTATTGCGCTGCAGAGGTCTGGTTTTTTGGACCATGTCTAAGATCCTAAAACAGCATAGATTACATAATCGGGTATTTCCGAGCACATTGTAGTTTCCTTTCTCCTTTCTTGACGGTATTACTTTGTCCATTTGCATTAATGCCAGACGGCATGTTGCACCGATAGGTTTTAACTTCAATCAGGCATGTCCACCAGCGCTCGGGGCTTGTTCTCGATGGTATGCTCTCCATACTGTTCAAACGGGCTTCCGACGCAAACACGTGCCATGCAGCGCATCCTCTAGTGGAATATGTGACGAAAGCCACAGTTTTGGGCTTCCGAGCAGCCCTTAGGGGTTGATACGGCGTCTTGGTGCATTAAATTGAGTGTGCGCTCTGCAGAAGGTGAGCTGTGCTCGCATCTCTGATTTTGTTTACTATTTTGAGTATTGTGACCAAACGCTCATATCAGGAAGGACTTTGTAGGATTCTGTGTGAGAAGAGTTTACATTCACACATGGCAGGGTTCAATGTATACTGTAGTTTGATCTACTATGCGATTATCACTGCACCTGTCCTCCTTTTTGTTGCATTCCTGATATAATGCAACGTCTGCCACTTTATTCAACTGTTTCTTTTACACTCCCCCTCTCTTCCTCGAGTCGACAACTTGTACAATGCATTCCGACAAGGTCAACTTCGTTCCTCTTTCTTGCACTCTTGCAGAGATAAGGAGCGCTATACCAGAACGTCTCTTCATTCGCAGCACGGTTCGGTCAAGCATATATCTGCTTCGCGATTTGTTTCTTGCAGGCGCTCTGTGGTCTGTTGCGACTTACATTGACCCCTTCTTCCGAGATGCTGCCAAAATTTATAATTTTGGCCCAGGATTAGAACTACTTGGCCGTACAATATGTTGGCTCGTATAGTAAGGTCTCATCATTTTCGATCCTACGATCTGAAACTAACAAACCTCTCAAATTTCAAGCTGGTGGTTCCAGGTCCGTTTCAAAGGCTTCATTGGAGTTGACTCTACGTCTAACCCGCAGCTAGGGGCTGGTATTCACCGGCTTGTGGGTCATGGGGCATGAGGTTTGTACTTAAAAATCGGGCAATTCCCATTACATGGGCCTAAACTTTGTCAAGTGCGGACATGGCGCATTCTCTCCGTCTGCCATGGTCTGCGACACTCTTGGATATGTTATTCATAGTCTCCTTTGGACACCATACTTCAGCTGGAAGTTCGTTCATCATCGCCACCACGCAAACCACGCCTCCATGGAAAAAGATGAAGTGTCAGTAAGCTCGTACCCAATTAGTTCTTCACAGCGTGATAACACAGATGATAGATACGTGCCGAAAACAAGATCAGAATTAGGTATCCCAGAGGACTCTGGCGAAACGAAGATTGACTACACCGAGTACTTTACGGATACACCTGTATGGACACTCTTCACACTCATTCGCCAGCAGTTGTTCGCTTTCCCTGCCTACCTCATTGCGAACGTCTCAGGACAAAAACATTATCCGAAATGGACAAATCACTTCGATCGTGAGTCGTGCATACTCTTTAGCCTTTCCCTTCGTATCTGACTTCAGTGCTGCAACCTGGTAGCAAATTCTGTTTACTTTACCAATTCCCAACGCAATGCTGTTTTGGCTTCTGACTTCGGTTTGCTGATGATGACATTCATTACGGCGAAAGCATGTGCTGCCTATGGATGGCTTGAGGTCGTCAAATTCTATGGTATTCCATGGCTGTGTGTTTTGCACTGGTTCGTCATGATTACATATGTTAGTCATTTACGACCTTTTACCACGTTCTTCACTTATATATTGATGAAATAGCTTCACCATACAAGCGCGGATCTTCCTCATTATCGCAGCGGGCAATGGAATTATCAAAGAGGAGCTGTGGCGACCGTCGACCGTGACTTCTTGGGCTGGCAAGGCCGATTCTTTCTCCATGACGGTACGTAAAGCGTTACAGTGTTTCTTCTGTATAATGACTTCATCTCCTCAAGTCGCACATTATCACGTCATACATCACTTCTTCCCAAAAATGTCCTGGTGTGAGTCACTCATTGAGATACTACCATATCATCATCTGATTGAAGTTTCTGATTAGACAACGGCGAAGAGGCCACTCAGTACTTAAAGCGCATTCTGGGAACACACTATCACCGTTCCGAAGAACCTGTCTTCTCTGCGCTTTGGAGAACGTATAATCAATGCCAATTCGTTGAAGATGAAGGTTTGTGGTCCAATGACAAACTGCGTTTGATTACTATTGTTCATCAAATTACCTTCGTTTTTCAGGCGATATTATATTCTACAAGGATAAGGCGGGTAAAATCAACATAAGCCAGAACATCACCGAGTGAATGAGCAATGTTTAAGAACAGTATGTATTTATTCATGTTTCGTGAAATTACACTGTGAATGGTATTTGAGTACAATGAAAACTGTCAAAAGTGCGAAAAAGTTCTTCCCCGGTCTTAAGTTATTCACTGGACAGAGTCTTGATCATTGCAGCAGTTGCTCCCAGTGAGCACAATGTATGCAAGTCTCCTTAATTCTGTGGCGTAATGAAAGCAAAAGAGTAAGCTTTACTCAGTTTCAATGTGTTACTCAAACAGTACATGGCTCTTAGCGATTCAATTGATACGTCATTTTATAGAGTGCAGAACGGTGAATATTCACAACCGAAACCTGGAACGCGGGTACATGTTCTTGGTCCAAAAGAATGGAAGCCGGAGGAAGTTGGTTATCAGCCAAAGTTTCGAGAGTCCTTATGGTTGTCAACATCAGTTACCAAAGGCTCCAACTTCTTGGTTGAGCGCATCAATGCGGGAATATATTCAAGAAACGGCCTATTCAGATTTCGTACTGCCTCCGGAACCTTCCAAATCGCTTGCTAGGAAGGGTAACGGATATCCGAATGTCCACATATCGCTACATTCTTCTTCCCTTCAAATACAATAGTGTGGAATATAACAGGGCCGAGATCAAGGGTTAATTTCTAAGAAGCTTTCGTGGTTGAAAAAGGGGTAATCAAGAAACAGAACTGCGCGACTTCTTGTGTCCTTCCTATCGCGGTGTACTACTCGAAAGCAGTATGCCATATGATTGCCCAATGGCCCTGCTGGGAAATCCACTCTTTCGAGTTTTTCCAAGATAATGGCCTCCGCTTAGCAAAGGGTCGGAAGCACCCATAGAATGAAGTCGTGTTTATGGACGGAACATAATGATAGTATCCACCGGCTACTATTTGGGACCAAAGTACATTATTTTACCCTGATGTGAATTTGTGAACGGACGGTCGCATATCTAGAATGTACTAGGTCACGATATTCCGCAGAAAACGGGAGTATAGCTGATGCCCTACTTTATCTGATTGTCTTCTCGTAGCTCAAGCACCTCGAACATTACCTTCCCTCGTTCTTGACTAGCAACAAGACCGACATTTTAGCTGTCCTTACGACTTAACTGCTCTTGAAATGTGTCAGAAATGTACAGAGAGGCCAGCAACGTTCCGCGTCCCTAGTGTGTAAGTATATGCACAAGTTCACAGTGATATTTGTCTGACACACAATCTAGGACTGTCTCGCAAGTGAAGAAGGGAGTTCCCGCGCACCTTTTCGTGTCTAAAACTTGGAAATCGTTCTGTTACTTATTCAGGGATCTCATTATCATGACTCTCCTCGTGATTCTTGTATGCTGGCTGGACAAACGCCTAACATTGGACAATGGGAAGTCCGTAAAGCAAGGATTAGTTTCTTCAGTGGCCCGTTACTCCGTTTGGATCCTATAGTGAGTTTACATCACCATTTTTTTACTTAAATATAAGTATGCGGAAATACGAAGTGTGAACTGAAGTGTCGTCTTATTACAGCTGGTGGTTTCAGAGCCTTACCATTTGCGGGATCTGGCTTATCGGCCACGAAGTATGTTACTATGATTTTATTTCCTCAACGAACGAACCTTATGACACCCGGAAACAAAAGTGCGTTCATGGTTCCTTTTCGCCGTACCCAGCTCTGAATGATTTTGTTGGATTTGTGAGTCTACAAATATCTTTTGCCGTTTCTCTTAGGTTTACAGCTATTTTTCTGCAGATATTACATTCGTCTCTCGGCACACCCTACTACAGCTGGAAGTACTCGCATCACCACCACCATACATACAACGGACACCTCGACAAGGATGAGCAGTATGCAGTACCTCTCTTGATATGTAACTGATACGATGCTTAATATTACCTAGCTTTATTCCGGGAGTTTTTGAAGCACATGATTCCGACAACAATACTAGCTTCTGGGATTGTATCGAGGACACTCCGATATATCAAACCGTCAAGCTTATGTTGTATCAATTGTTCGGGTTTCAATTATATCTTCTCTTCAACGCATCTGGACAGCCTAGATATCCTCGCTGGACAAGTCATTTCAATCGTGAGCTAACGCACTTCCCTAATAGTGGTTATTCTTCTCATAAGCAATCATCAGCGAACAGTATTATTTTCGGGCGTTCGCAGCGTATGCACGTTGTCCTATCCGATATTGGCATATTCGTCGCTTTATCATCTCTTATCTACACCATATATGCCACACAGATGACGCTAGGCCTGGCAATACGCTTATGTGGTGTGCCTTGGTTGCTCCTCAACCACTGGATAGTGATGATTGTGACCCTTCATCACACGGACGTACTCTTGCCTCGCTACAGGAAAGGCGCGTTCACGTTTTCGCGAGGAGCACTCGTTACTGTTGACCGGAATTTCCTCGGTTGGCAGGGAAAGTTCTTTCTGCATGAGGTCCGTATCCATTTTCTGAAGTATGAGGCCCGACTCACTAGCAATGATCATAGGTCTCCCATTTTCATGTCGTACACCATTTCTTTCCATCAATTCCGTTTTGTGCGTGCACTGCCGTACATTCGTGAAAAATTTAGCAATTTAACCTGAGAATTCAGATAATCTAGAGGAAGCGACTCAGTATGCGAAGAAGGAGCTCGGCAGCGATTACCACTCCTGCGACACTCCTGTATTTCGAGCTCTCTGGGAGAACTCCTTACGATGTCGGTTTATCGATGCAGAAGGTATTCGCGCTGTTTTTCTTGAAGAATCACTCCTAATTTGTTGTTGCGTCTATTCTGGACATAGGCGATATTGTGTTCTTTAAGGATAGGCTTGGAAACACACGCTACAGAAGCGCCGTCGAATAGGATAAATTCTAAGCGAGTAAAATGATGTTTTATATATTAGCTGCGTCGCAAACTCTAGTAGTAAGATAATTTTTTATCACTCGTTCGAGAGCCAGGAAAGCACTGCTCTCGAGTAACATTATTTTACGAGGGTAATACGGCGTTCCAGCTGATTTGTTCCATCTCGACGGACTCGACCATGGGGCACGATCAATGATCATTGATTTGTCTGCGTTGACGCGTGAGAAAGTAAAGCCTACTCAAACCTGAAGGCTTTCAAACTCCGATGCGAAGCGATGCAACTAATGAGGATTCAGAGGAATGCGTTCATTCTGAAGTCGAACGCCACTCGTTGATGTAGCAGAGTAGTCTTCGTGCCAATATGAAAGCAGAATGGTTAGGATCTCAAGCAAGGTCATTTCTTGATCCGTTTAAACCTAAATAGGCTCTCACGACTCAAGTTCATCCCTGTTACACCCGCATGACAAGTGTCTTAGTGGCGAAAATGATGCTGTCGCGTGGCGATTGTGCAATGTGTCGTTTAAAAAAATGATACCATTGCACGACCGCCACCACATATCCCGAATGATTAAAACTAGCAGTCCGTAATACAGTGTGCTCATTTCCACTTTTCCTGCATTGAAGTGCCTGCAAAGCCAGAGTGGTTGTATCAACACATTGTCTATCAAGCACCTACGATCAAATACGACGAGCAAACCTTTACTATAAATAGAATGTCTACAGAGAATTATGCGAAGAGAAACTGCCTTCCTGATAATGTTGAACCCGAACATTATTATCTTACTATTACGACAGATTTGGAAGAATTGAAGTTTGAAGGGACTTTGATTGCCAGGCGCGTGATTCTGAGCAGATTGCGGTGTCGGATTCTGATTGGGCTTCTAGAATCAACGTCATTAAGGAGACGGCAAAAATAGTGTTGCACGCCGCGGAAATGGAGATAAGCGAAGTTTATATTACTTATGGCCCGTCGAAGCAAGTAAAGCAGCAAGTACGGAAGCTTCCTAAATGCAATGCAACTGAACAAATATCGCTTGAATTTGCTGAAAAGATTCCGGTGGGTTCGGCAGATCTGACAATGAAGTATAGCGCTCAAATCAGTGAAACTCTGAACGGATATTGCTATGATACATGGGAAGATGACAACGGCGTTGAACACAGCTATGCTTTCACTCACTTTCAGGTGGGCACATTTCGCAGTATCCCAGGCACAACCAACTACACATCCATGCTTAGCCGCACAAGGCGAGAAAGGCCTTTCCTTGTTGGGATGAAATACATAGGAAAGCAACATTTAATATCACGATGATATCTCATCACAAAACAGTCAATCTGAGTAACATGATTGAATCAGGGGATGACACATATGATGGTAAGTTTGTTTGTGTGTATTGTTGTTCCTCAGCTCCAGGCTCAGTTTCACGTAGGCGACTGGAAGATCACCAAATTTGAGACGACAGAAAAGGTGAAGTAGTTGTGTCGACGTAACGAAGAAAGTATGTTGAACCCAGCCTCTCCCAGATGTCTACGTATATTGTAGCGTTTGCAAATGGGCACTTCAAATATGCTGAGGCCAGGTGTCAGTTGGCAGGGAACAGAAATGTTCGCTTGAGGATCTATTGTATCGTTTTGATTTCTACTGGGCTAGGATTGTAAACTAACACTTTTTTGGAATAGCGGTTCCTCACTTATATAAGGAAGGTGACTTTGCTCTAAAGGTGATGAATAAAGTGTTGCCACACTACGAGAAAATGTTTAAACTCAATTATCCGCTGCGTAAACTGGATACTCTTATTGTAAGCTCCACTTTACTATCTTACAAAATCGACTAAAATAAGCAATCCCCATAGGTCCATAACATGGATAATCAAGGTGCTATGGAAAACTGGGTACCGCTACAGCCTTGCGCTCACGTAATATTTCACTAACTCGTTGCAGGGTCTAATTATTGGCCAAGCCACTGCATTTTGTCTTGATGATCCAGCGGCGTGGAATACTAGTTTAGGAAGGGAAATCGCACTGGCAATGTGCCATGAGGTATAACTGAATCAGGTCTATGTCATATTGTTCTGACAAAATGCGTATTGAGGGATCAGGTATCTCATATGTGGTTTGGAAGTAGGTACGCTTCTTATGCTTCTATTAAACGAGTCTAATAACTGTATCACATTGCTTTTGGCGAAGACCTCGTGGTATGTCAACCATCGTTGACCGTCTTTGTCGTTAAGCTGACTAACTCGGCCGAAGACTCCAGTTTGGTGGGATAATTTGTAAGTGACATTACATACGTTCTAGAAACATATGGCATTGAGTATTCCATACAGGTATCTCAATGAAGGTACGCATTGGGAGTACTACCAAATCCCATATTGTCCCTCATCACGAACGTTGCTATCTAGGGTTCGCAACTCTGGTGAGGATGTGTTTCTTGTGATGCTAATCGATATTGACTCTGCGATAGGTTGGCGAAGTCTTCGCCATTGGTAAGCATTCCATTGCGAGATGTCATTTTCTAATCCCGAATACATGCATATAATGGTTCATTAGAGAAGTGAGAACGCCAATACTATCCTCAGCGTTCGTTGGCCTAATGCTGGTCGTAGACTCCGTGGTTCGTCGGTGGTAGACTCCAAGTGGATCGCTCGCAACACATTCATTACAGACCATCTTGAAGTTGCACTAACTACGGATGCGAAGATCTCCTCGCATGCGATTGAGCAATATTGTCCCGATGAAGAAACTGCTATCCAGGTAAATATTGCTTATCATTTTCGTAATGCCACAAACTGACCCTGTGATCAGCGTTACGACGCTTTGTCATACCAAAAGGGAGCTGCTGGTGCGTAGAAGAAGGCGGTCCGTTCTCTACGTAAATTGACGATCGCTTTTAGTGTTGTTGATGCTTCACGACTATGTTGGAGATAGTATCTTTTTCGAAGGCGTTAAAAAGTACTTAAAGGATCATTGTTACTCGAATGCGAAAAGTGATGATCTTTGGAATGCAATAAACATCATCTGGAAGAAATCAGGTAAGCTCTGAGCGCTCATGGACGTTCTTTAATTGTTCTAGTGTTAATAAATCGACAGAGGACGGCAAAGAAACGAAAACAACGATTTCCGAGCTAATGAAAAACTGGGTCATCAAGACAGGGTTTCCGTATATTGAGGTGATAGAGGATTCAAGGAATCCTAAGTACGTTGGCCTCCGCCAAAGACGGTTTTTGGCCGGAAAGGCGATTAGTGAAAGCATCGATAACACAATCTGGTCAGTAGCAGGACAGCTTTGACATACTATGATACGACGCTCTGACCGAAATTTAACAGGCAAATTCCGTTGAAAATCCGAATTATTGCCAGTAGTAATGCCAAGGAACCTGTCTCTCTGCGAACAGTGGTTACTGATGAAGCAGCCACAATAAAGCTAGACACAAACAAGCAATATATACTTAGTTCCGGATTCTGTGAGTCGGGAGTCTCGTTACAACAATTAACTTTTCCTGAGTAAACGGCTAGATCGAGTCCATTACAACTCAGACCGCCTAGAGAAGATAGCCTCTGATTCTGGGATTACTACTGCAGAGCGCATTAAATTACTCAATGATGCCTTTGCTCTAGCAGCTGCAGGAATTAGTAATATAAAGAATGTGTTGATGCTAATACAGAAATTTTCAAGAAGAATGGACTGTGAGTCTCTTGGACTAGACAAGTGCGCTCTTTGGTTCTGCAACTAACGGTCCTGCAGATGATTTGTGGAAATGCATCGACTCAAAGCTTTCCAGCTTGATTGGCATATGTTCCCATGGTGTCATAATGAGAAAGATGCTTGAGGAGTTTTTCCAGGTCAGATAGCCACTTCTAACATGTTGAGTTCCTCAATATTGAATCCTTCCTTCCAGTCGCTCTATCCCTCTTTCGAAAGCTGGACCCGCAAGGATTTTGCATCCAGCCTATTAAAGTCCACTCTAATTTGCGGAGCAGCATCCTTCAATGAACCAATGTAGGTCTTCCATGCGCATTTCTCTATGTATGTTGGATGAAATTACCTGCACCACAGAGCTATAAAGAAGCTGCAAGACATCTTTGCAGAACGCGAGAGACACAGAATACCAAAAGACATAGAAGCAGCAGTATACAAAACAGTGAGCCGTTTGCATTATTTTTGCTGTTGTTTTCTGACTATGAGCTCTTCAGGTTGTCAAACACGGTGGTGAGGAAGAGTACAATTCTGTTCTGAGAATTTTCAAAACAACGAAGAATGAGAATTCAAAGGCAAGCGATTTCTCCAGATGTTTCAGTTCGATTAGAGAGACTTACTAGACTATCACAGAAACTTGCTATGTGAGTCGACTATGCCCCTCCTTAACAGTGAGAGGGCACTCTAAGGTATGCCAAAAAAAATTAGTGCTGGACTATGTTCCCCAGAAGATACTGGTTTAATTTCGAGAACGCTTTGGATGGTATTCGGCACGACAAGCAGGGCCGAAGTCAAAAATGAAATTCAAAATCGCGACGTGTTTTGGTTCATTGATGGACTTGCAAGGAACCCGGTTGCACGGCAAATCGTAGCCAAAAGATTCATGGAAAGATTCGCCGAGGTTAGCGTGCACGCCTGATTATGATGTATCAGCGTTGCTTATCGTGATATTGTACAGATTTACGAAGACTTCAAGGGAACCGAAGCTCTGCCTTGGCTTGTGAAGGAAAGCAATCATAATTATTATAATACACATATTTGACTCAATTTAATAAATTTCAGGCTGCATTTAGACAGTTTTCCGAACGCAAAGACGTGGAATCTATCAAAGCCTGGGAAAGAGTAAGTTCTATTTGACAGAACACGAAAGATTTCTAACAATCAATGGAAACAGAGCCTTAGCCCGCAGGTGCTTAGCTCGTTCAGAAGCGCTCTGAAACTGACAACGGATACAATACACGATAGAGCAAAACAATACGAGGTACCACGAGAATTGTCATTTGCAGTTACCTTCACTAAACTGAAAGCTTCTGATAGAACATCAGGGATGACGTGAGGAGTTTTTGTGAGAGGAATTCCGCAAGTGAAGTGCCTAGCGTCACCCAGTCTGCTCATCAGACGACCCGCACGGAAGGAAAGAAGAGAGCCTCAACTTCAAGTAGCCATGTTCCAAAAGCTACGCGTACCAGTATGAAACGGGCACCCGTGGCAGGAACAGGCCGCCATACTGACAAACGACATTCACACCATTCCAAGCGAGAATCAGACGCTCAGAGTCAGACGGTGACGCGCGATCGTTAAAAATGGGCTTGCGAACCGAGAGTTAATGACTCGAATTATATAATAAATAGAACACTTCTTACATGCTCTTTACATTGATAGGTTCAAGTCTCAGGATGGCCTAAAAATCGTTGGCGTTCTACTCGAGCTTTCTGTTATTTTTTAATGATAGTAGTGGCGAGGCAGGTTGCGTGAAAATGTCACGTGATTTCGCGACCTGAAATTCTTCCTCCTGTCTTGCCATCAGGAAAAAGTCTTAAGGCTTATATTAGCTTATAAACATATAAATTATATAAATTTTCTAAAAAATATAAAAGACCATATATCCAACCTCTTAAAATGAGAAAATTATAAAAAGCTATATAAGATACAAAAAGGTATGTACAAATTGTTAATATGAATAAGGTTTATAAGTATTGACAATATGTAAATGAACTTATATCCAACCTCCTAAAATGAAAAGATATTAAAAGAACTTTGTATTTTAACAAGAGTAATATAGTTTTATAATATATACAATCTAATGTAAAGCTTTAAAAGTACTTTGTATATTGTTAAATATTATTATACTTTATAAGAGCTTTACAAGGCTTCAAAATAGTTATAATATTTTACAATCCAGGTATTCATTTATTTCTCTCTTTTTCCTCTTATAATTAAGTATTTACATTTTAATATGCTTGCATTGATTTATTTCTACTACATTTCATTCTAATAATATTGTACTTGTGAAACGATCATGCAGACACGAAAAGAGAGAAAGAAAGGAAAGGAGCGTCCAGTTGTGGAGAATCATAC